TATCTCTCGCTAGAATCTCCCACCATCCAACTAACAACAACGTCAAGCCTTTGGGCTCTGAAACTACGGGGCGGGCCGAGGACAAATACACATGCGTTAATCGCACGTTAAAATAATTAGTGGCGTTAAAAAATGTTTGCGTTAACTTGACAGCCCTAATTTTAACAGATTCATACTTACGATACCTTCGGTACTGTTTTGAAATGAGTATGTAGTCATATGTGTGTCACATTCGAAATGTTGTCTTTGATTTGATAAGTTACTAAAAAATATATTTTTCCGTGACGTCCTTATGAAGGCCCCTGACACCAAACCTCACATCGCATCGTCAGCAAAAACTACACCCAACAGGATTTAAATATTTTGAGGTCTGATCTGGAAGGGCCACTGTGAAAATTGCCATGTCGGTTTACCCCTGCCCAGAAATCAGTAACTTTGGAGCGTCATTTAGCTTTATTTCTGAGTAGCTACATGAACATGCCATGTGATGTGTTACTTAAGGACACTTTAACGGTACGGCAGCGTCGCGTACTTCAACAGAGACGCTTCCCATTCACTTTGAATGGGGTGACATCACGCTTTGCCAAACTGCATTGTGGTTCTGTCGCGTCGCTTTGCCTCCGTTGCTCGCTTCGAAAGTTGAGAAAAGTTCAACTTTTCAAGCATCGACGGAAGCGCCAGCCAATCAAATCATATGCTTGTGTGTCCGGGGCGGGAGATTAATGTGTTTGGTTGTTGGTCGCACGCCAGACACGCCCACCGGCAAGCTTCAACGCGACACTGCCGTGTGGACGTACCGTAAGGACACATAAAGCTGGAGAAATCATCTGTGGGTGTTTGCACCTGCTATATCTGAATACTTTATATGGATTTCAATGACTACTTTTTTTACGATGTTGTATTTTATTGTTGCCTCTGTGTTTAGTGTCCTGTCTGTCTGTAACTTTGTGTGGTAGTGTTACCACTGACAGGTCTCTCTTGCAAATGAGACCTTGTGTCTCAATGAGATTTTTACACCTGTATAAATAAAGGCAAAATAAAAAAGGGGGCCCTCTATCAGGGGTGCTGGAAAAATCAATTCATGTAAGAATCAAAATTCTAAATCGTTTTAAACATTTATTTTTACAAAAGAACTTATGTTATATGATATTGCTACAAATGGACAGTAAATGTTTCCCACAGAATTCAATTCTACATGTGGCGGTCTCAGACCTGAGTCCTTTGGGCTGCCCACCTGCTTTCATATTATTTATGAGAGAAAGCATTGGGGGGCTGAACAAATCAATGTGCTGCATGCAGCTCTATAATGTAATTGGATAGTGATTTTTTTTATGGAGGACATTAGACTTTTTATAGTTTCTTATGTTCAACAAAAAGCAGTATAACAATGGCTTACACTATGTATTAAGATTAAGTGCTGGGACCTTATATGTGCGTCACGTGTCAGTTAGTCGTTTACATAGCTTCTCCTCACGGAATGCTTCTTTTATTTTATTTTATTCTATAAACTACTGACAACGTTTCTCTGTGTTGGAATTCAACAGACACTGGAATGGCTGCCATACATGTAGAGATTGAGATTTAAAAAAAACTGATGAGTGGTCTCATAATTTTTGTATGGTAGAATAGATAACGGGAACATTTTGAATAAACTTAACTTGCTATTCTTAAAATCACTTAGGTTGGAGAAATACAAAAAACCTTTTAGTAAAAAGTCACGATAATCCAGACTTGTGTTTCTGTTGGTGGCTGTATCCCAGACTCTTATTGGGAACATATGTGCCAAAGTCTGGCAAATGTAAATCTCTCCGGTCATAATGTCTGATGAAACATCATTTCCCCATATGTATTACAAATAGACTGAATAGACCTGCTAAGTCCTCATAAGTGATTTCACAGAAATGTATCCCAGGTGGGCCAAACTGGCCAAGGTGGCCTGCATGATCCCTGCCTTTAATGGGCCGGTAGAGAGGATTCTCTCTGGGACTGAAAAGGTCGGCAGTAGCACGTCTAATTAAAATGTTATGTATTAGACTGGCCTACATTTGTGTTGGTTAACAAATAGTTAAACATGTTTTATGACCATATGTAGGCCAGAGGTTGAGGGAACATCTTTGTGTTAAGAGTTTTGGTGTATAGGGTTGCAATATATATATATATATATATATATATGTATGTATGTATGTGTATATGTATATGTATATGTATATGTATATGTATATGTATATATATATATATATATATATATATATATATATATCTATATATATCTATAACAGTCTATATATATCTATATCATCCCATTATATATATTCATATATATCTCTACATCACCCAGTCCTTATCTCTATCTATATCTCTCTCTATATATACTCTATATCTCTCCTCTACCCCGTTATATCTCTCTTTCTCTCTCTCTCCTCTCTCTCTCTATCCCCCTTCTCTCTCTCTATGATACTAGTATATACACAGTATATGATATACGAGATATATATAGAGGATATCATATATTAATACACGTATATATATATTACTATTTAATATAATATATTACACAGTTATTATATCTATATATATATATATATATCTATCTACACAGTAATATTAATATTTATCTACACCAGTATATATACTATATATATTATATACACAGTATATATATATATATACTCGCATAGACTATATATATATTATATATATATATATATATATATTTTTGTTTGCGTTATGCACACCTCTATTGACATCTATCTACTTTTCAACAAAACAGAAATCATAAGCATTGATGATCTCATTCTTAAATGTAACCTTTCCCTCATTTTCAAACCAAATAATAAACTGATCATATTTGACCAACATTTCTCCTATTGGTCCTTGGCATTGAAATCCTTCGAGACCCATTGAGCAGCATCTTTGTTTTTCAGTAATTGGTGATGGAGACCGTTCATTATGCTCTTTTTTTGAACCAGAGGATTGAACAATGGCCCTGTCCTTACTGTCATTTTGAAAGCACTTGGAAGGATCTAGCAGGATTTGCTCTCATCTTCCAGGTCATATTGAATAGATGACCCATTGCTCTCAGATTGAGAGTTCAGGGTATTTAGTTTGCAGCTTTAATCATTAGGAGTGTGAGAATCCTCGTTGCAGACTCTGATTGAGCTACACAGTTCCTCGTTCATTCCTCAATCATCATCTGATACGATGCTATCCTCCCTCCTGCATAAAGCTGTGCACTCAACATTTGACTTTCAAATGTATTAACACTTCAATTGTTTTGTGCTCTTAGATGTATTGTAGTCATTAAACTTACAGTAAACACACGTGAAATCTCAGACATCCAAGCTCAGCGTTGTGTCGTCGGCCTTACACTGTGACATCTACTATGATGTGTGGTTGTGTTAACTGTATGTATGTGCTCCTCTTTGTTCATTGAACACAATGCAGCCACATAGAGCCTGCTGTCTAGCCTCTATTGTGATCTGTGGAACACCACTCACCTCATGACTGATCTATTGTGGCTCAGGTCGAAAACTGCATGTCAGCACATTTAGATGGATGCACTCACACACACACACAGCTGAGGCTGATGACAGCATTTCTTGTACTGTAGAGTGGTTTGTCGTTAGTCTACATGAATTCATCTGACAATAAATACAAATAACATCCTCGAGTTTATTTACCATTGATGTGAGGAGAAGCTTGTTGGCTTATATTTGTCTATTCGTCCCTTTTTTGTAAAATTAGATTTTCTAAATGGGAAACTTTATAATTGTTGAGAGAGAAACTCCCTCTGGAGGGAACACAGGGATGCTAGCCTTTGCAGACCATTTACATGCACACAAACCTATACCCCGAAGGCTTAAATCAGCACTACCCATTTTGGGTTATAATAAATAAATAAAAACCTGATTTAAATATTGGTATTAATTAGGGAAGCAGTGAAATGCACTGATATGTGACTTTGATTGTTTTTAAGGATATTTTGAATTGTATTTAGGTCTTTCACACTCACATGCTCATGTCAGTATACACTGACACTGACATGAATCCTCCTTTGTCTCCTTGGGCCAGCATGGATGAGAGGAAGAGTTATAGCCTCCAAAGCTCTTCCAATGTAAAAGTTTGCTGCCTAAAAATGCAATTAAATTACCGTTATATTGGGTTTGGAGACATTTGTTAAACAATTAACAATATTGCAGCAGATAACAGCGGAGGCGTAGCTTCAGACACCTCAGATCTTCTCATTAAAGACGGGTGGCTGTGCGCTCCCTGGCTCTCCTGGGGAAAGTAGATATACGAGTAAAATAACAATGGAATCTGAGATGAAAGGCAATTAGAAGATGTTACCCAGAAGACAAAATAAATAAAGATGAAAGGAAGGAAGAGATGAAGCAGAATGAACCAAAGTAACATGTGGTCTAAACGAGTAAGATGGGTTTAGATTTCAGGTTGTCTCTTACACAGGAGTAGCCTTTAGTCTCACAGCTAGGTCTCTTATTCTTGTCTCTTTTTGTTCCGTTATGTAATGGATGATGTGCAGCGAGCCGCTCCTTAATGAGAAAAGAACCCCGACAGGACGAGCAGGGTCCCCGATGCAATCAGTCTGTTTTCTTCTTCTTGTTCATTTTTTTTTACCGGGGACAGTTCAGCCATCATAATCAGAAGTGTCCTGCTCATCGCAAATATAAAACTTAAGTATTCCATGATGTTTCCTTATGGAGGAAAACTTTTTTTCTTTACCTACAATTAACTTCTTACTGCGGATTGATATGACTGCACATGTTCCCTTGATCAAAACATCCTTAGTTTCCTTAAAATGTCCAAATCGACCAATCGGAATTAAACTAAGCTGGGATAACGTCCTTCTCATTTCCAGGTTTAGTTATGCAAATGAATGTGCTTGCTGAGACTCAGAAGAAAATGCATGCATGGATACAGTTTATGTGCTGCTGAACTACAACTTGACTTATTTCCCCTTTTCTGTTCTTGCCATTGGACAGTAGGAGAGGTCGTGCCCAGTGACTCCCTGCAGGTGCCAAACGAGGCCACCATGTCGGTGACCGTTCATGAGAATCGCAAGTCCCGCACTAGCACAGGCTCCATGAACATCTCGCTGTTCCACAAGCCTTCCCATCCCGACAGTGTGCTGACCCACCTGAACACCTTGAGGAAACAGTGCCTGTTCACTGATGTCATTCTGTGGGCCGGGGACCGCTCTTTCCCATGCCACAGGTAAACACACGCCGAAAACATTTGTGAAATTCACTATATATATCATTTAGTTAGTAGACCCAGCCACCACAGCAGAGAGTAACATACACTACATACTTTTCCACATTCCTTTGTTCTTTTTTTGTTTTTTATATGACCTCCGGAGCAGGACCGTGCCATTTTTATTCACTGACTAAATTGTTTGTTTCCTGCAGAGCTGTCTTGGCAGCATGCAGTCGTTACTTTGAGGCCATGTTCAGCGGAGGACTACGAGAGAGTCTGGACAGTGACGTCAACTTCAGAGACAGCATACACCCTGAGGTACGACCGCTGTTACAGAGGATACATCGACACTATTTTTCCTTTAGAACTTTAAAGCTTCTTTCGAAAGCTCTTTAGATGAAAGCATTCATCAAATAATCCTCCATCCAACCACTACTTGTGAACAATCTGAACTCAATGTCCACTTTTCACAGTTTATAGATTTCTTAATGGATCGACAATCACTGTGCTGTTGAATTTGTTTGATGCCTTTTTTATTAGAGTGGTGCAGTGATGAAGTATTTGGAAGTTAGCATCACAACGGGCTCCTTCAATAAAAAGCAATGAGATTTTTCCATTGGATTTTAAAATATGAAATAAAAAATGTGACTAACACGTTTATGATACTCAAACCTTTTGTTCAGCAGGATAATCTCTACATATTAACAGTGCTTTTATGATTTTTGAAGCCTGAATGCAGAGGTAAAAAGCTAACGTTGCTATAAACAAACTACAACACGGTGGCATGACTTCAAAGCTTAGTTTAAGGCGGCTAATGTTTGCCGGGATGACGTTTAGTATACCCATTTAGTCACTTATTATTGACCGCTCACTTTATTACACATAGAAGCTACGGCATTTATCAGTAGGGAATTGGCTGCCAAAATGTACATCGTAGAATAAACCTTGAAAATCTCCCAGACCTTATTTCAGGCCTTTAACTAAAAACAAGTTTTAAAAAACCTTTGAAACGAGGGAACCAGAACTGGTACAATTCTGACACATTTTCGGGTTTTAGGACTCATTCCTATACCACTCTATAGACGGTTAACACTAGAACCGCCAACGGGTACATTTTACCCGCAGCTGTTTCCTAATTGTATGTAACTTTTTTTCAATAAAATATTCAAGTCTCCCAATCTGTGACTTTTCCTGGAAGTGTGTTATGTAGCACCCTCTGTTGTTAAAAATGGTCAATATGAAGTCAGATTGAAAAAATGGCCCAAAAAATGCCATTTATACCCAGCAGCGCCAGCGGGTAATATTTGCCTTATAGACGATGCAGTGATTTTTGCGCTATTGATATCGCGCAAAAACATAAACATGACGTGTTGCTATAGCAACGCCTGTTGTTTACTGCGGTTCCTTATAGATAGATAGATAGAGAGAGAGAGATAGATAGATAGATAGATAGATAGATATAGATAGATCGATAGATAGTTATAGAGAGAGAGAGAGATAGACACTTTGCACACAACTCACGGTAGCGATCTTTTATACTACTGCACAAACTTTTATACTACTGCACAAACTAGATATCATATGAAAGCTGAGAGTCCACAGATTCTATTGGTATAAGTTTCATCACTGTGCGATCAAAACTCACTGTTAACCCTGTGTTCTGGTATGTTAATTAAAAGAACATTGTACCTTGAAAATCAATGCATTCTAATAGCGGGTACATTTGACCCGTTGGCGGTTTTAGGTATACAGCGACCCCTGGCGGTTCTAGTGTTAAACAAGATGGGAGGAAAGAGGTTTTATGATCTGAAGAAAGGCACATAACAAATGACCTCAGCCTTACATAAAACAATTTTTTGAAGGAAGGTATTGACATTTGAAGGGTAAAAAAATCTGAACTTTTTAAATGTTTTTGTTTCGCACAGCACCTGTTCCTACAGTATTGATCTGCTGAGTCATTCACAGTTTCTTTTTTTGTCTCTCAGAACATAACAGCCAAGGAACTACAGAAGATACAGTTTTAGTTTTCTCTTCATCCCTCACAGCCCTATGTTTTTTTGTGTCTACATCTTATATGGTTTCTTGCTTGGAAAATATTTGAGTAACTTGGCTATGTAATGTGGTCAGAACATTCTTTGTACAAACTCTACAAAATGTCAGCGTTTAATTTTAATCCTCAACTTTTCCAGGTCTTGGAGCTCCTGCTGGACTTTGCTTATTCTTCTCGAGTCATCATAAACGAGGAGAACGCCGAGTCATTGTTAGAGGCGGGCGACATGTTGCAGTTTCATGACATTCGAGACGCTGCAGCAGAGTTTTTAGAAAAAAACCTTCATTCTTCAAACTGCCTGGGGATGATGCTGCTATCGGACGCTCATCAGTGTAAACGACTGTACGAGCTGTCGTGGAGGATGTGTCTATTACACTATGAGACCGTAAGGATGATGAGGATTTTTCTCGCACTAACCTGGTGTCAGTGTCAGCCATAAGATCTGAAAGCATTTATCAGCCCAATCACTGCTATCTGTGAAATGCTGACATATATACTCTGCCATATTTGATTTCTGAGCCTTATAATGCTCTTGATACCATACAGTTAACTAAAAGGAAATTGGCAGATGACTGTGCTTTTCCATTTAGTAAATTGACTAGGATTGGAATTGATTGGAACTGATACATCTGTGATCTCAAGCATGACCTCATCATCACAAGACAAATACGCTGAGTAAGAGTTGGCAACATCCTCAGCTCTTTAAATATTATCTGTAGTTCACTTGACTCTGATGTTATTCAGGTTCGGAAACTATTGTGAAACCGAGATGCATATAAATAACTTTGCAAACAAAATTGCCCATGAATCAACGGCCATTTATCAAATCATGTGACCTCAAATTTGGTAGATATTTTAATCAGTTTTCAGGGAATAGAACTTCAAAACTTGTCTTTTGAGCCCGATTCATACGTGGTGCCACAAATGGGTGCCCCAAAAAATGTTGAACTGCGTTTCACCAAATTCGATGCAGGGGAACTGGGGGCAGGAAGTGCAATAATAATTGGTGCATGTGGGTGTGGCCTATGAATTGTTTTTATTTTTGTATTCCTTCCCTGAATTTGCTGTGAGCTGGAACAAGCTAGAGAACTTGGTACCATAACGGCCCGTCCACACGGCGGCGTGCGTTGAAGCTTCAACGCTTCTGCCCATTCACTTTGAATGGGGTGACGTCACACTTTGCCAAACTGCATTCTGGGAGCGTCGCTTCGCTTTGCTCGCGTTGCTCGCTTCAAAAGTTGAGCAATGTTCAACTTTTGAAGCTTCAACGGAAGCGTCAGCCAATCAAATAATATGCCAGTACAAGCTCTAGCCAATCAAACCACGTGCTTGTGTGTCCGGGGCGGGAGATTCATGTGATTGGTTGTTGGTCGAGCTTCAGACACGCCCGCCGGCAAGCTTCAACGCACGCCGCCGTGTGGACGATGCGTAAGTGGAAACACTGACCTTTTATTCCAATCATGCAGGACTTAGATATAGACATATCTGTTACAAATTACCAAGATTGGTAAAAAAAATGGGCACAATCTGCTCAAAACTCTTCACATAGTGGGGTCTTAGCAGCAAGTAGGCGAAAGTTGCCTTGAGCAATCCTTTATTTAGCTTTAAATGCTCAATATTGGAAATGCTGCCTACATTGTAATGCTGAAACAAGTGCGGGATTGTTCTCACTCTTTCTTTAGACCGGATTAAACCCACTAAAGAGACTTGCTGGTGGCTTTGCTTTTGGTAATGGAGCTGCTTCGTTCTTCTCACAGAGGAAGGGTTTGAATCCGCAAATGCCACTTGCAGCTATATTTGTAGAACCAAGACGAAATGAAATCTGCTGAGTGGTCCTACCTTAAACTCCATTTCCCTTTCATCACTCGATTAGCAGCTGAAAATGAGTAACTGTAGATACTTCCGATATTATAATACATACAGTATATATATATATATTAACAAATTGAATGTAATCAGAGTATTTGTCTGTGCTTTAGGTAAGAGAATCAGAGGACTTCTACAGTCTGTCGAAAGATAAGCTGCTGGAGCTGATTCTGAGCGATGAGCTGGAAATAGAAGATGAACAGGTGAGTGATCCTCTCTTTTATTTCCTGTTGACTTCTTTCTTTCTTTCCCATCATTTGTCTTCTCTTTCTCAATTCTTGTGCTCTATTTTAGTCTGTAACAATCTTACAATTGTTGCCTAAGAGTGGTGCAGGAACCTGGAAATGGGTTAGTCTTTTTGAACGTCAATGGTTTTTTGAATGCGTTTTTGCTTAGATGCCTGAAATCTGTTCTGTGGTTAACACAAGTTTCATAGGTTTTCAAGTTTTGTTCTACAACATAAACAGGTCAGTAAATATTTGCTAACAAGTGAGTCAATGGGATTACTAAACGTCATTACACCGAACATTAGCCACCTTTAGCTTAGCCGTAATGTAGTCAGTTTATAATGGTAGCTATTGACTTCTGGCACTTGCAATTACTCTTCAAGAATTATAAAAGTGGTGTTCATATGTAGAGATTTTCCTGTAGAACATGTAAGTAACACATAGATGAAGCAACATTTAGCTATAATCCAAAATGCAATGAAAAATCCCATTTTGCTGAAGGAGCCTGTTATTGTGACCCTTTTTTGTGTTTCAAAGTCTTCTGATCGTTGTAGCAAAGGATGGTGCCACACCACCGCTTTTTTTTTTTTTTCAAGTATTGAATTGTTGTTTTGACTTGTGGCAGGTTGTGTTTAACTCTGTCCTGCGCTGGGTTCGATATGACTTGGAGGGTCGGCGTCACCATCTACCGGAGCTGCTGAGAGGCATCAGGCTGGCTCTGCTGCCGTCCGAGTGTCTGCTGGAGGCTGTGGCCTGTGAAGAGCTGGTGATGGCTGACAAGAGGAGCAGGTAAGAGCTGCCCGTCTTCTCTGTAGCTGTAGAAAGAGAATCAAGCCACGCTTTTGGTAAAGATATACTGTATGTGACAAGTGTGTTTTTCTGAGCTCTTGCTTTAACTCTCCTCTGCAGGTCAATAGTAGAAGAGGCGATGCAGTGCAAGAAAAAGATCCTTCAGAATGACGGGATAGTGACAAGTCCATGTGCTCGCCCACGCAAGGCAGGACACACACTGCTGATCCTGGGAGGCCAGACCTTCATGTGTGACAAGATCTACCAGGTGAAAGACACACACTGTCCTTATACAGTATGTGTTATATGAAGGATAGGGTTGTCCGATAACATACAGCAGCCTAACTCGGATCTCACAATGTACCATTATAGAAGATTATCAGAAACACATGCCACACTGCTTGTATAACATATAATGCCTTAATCCTATTAAAGACCCGTTCACTACCAGTGTAAACAGGATGTGTGGGGGGGGGGGGGGGGGTGGTGTAAGATGCATACCATGTAAACATAACTTCAGTTGGCCATTAATTGACAGGTTGCCAATTTGATTCCAGTGACTTCCTGTCCACCTGTTAGTGCTCTTTAGCAAGACACTGAATCCTACCTGAAAACCTGAAAAGGGAAGCTGGTGTGAAAGTGCCTTAAACCTGAATTAACTTTCACATCCAGCAGGGTCACCACAAGATGAAATCTGAAGTCTATGAATCAAATGAATGAATGCATTTTCATTTGATTTATAACCACTGTAAACATTTTCCTTATGATTCTATGGTCTCAATCTTTATTCTTAGGCTTCTTAAATGCAATATTATGTCAATTTAGGTAAGGCAAGTTTATTTATATAGCACCTTTCAACTCAAGGCAATTCAAAGTGCTTTACAAAAATGAAAGACATTATGAAAGACATTATTATACAATGGCATTTTAAAACACTTATTTAAAAGCAAAGATAAAAAACATGAATAACACAGGTACATGAATACAAGTTACTGTGTATGAGATATGAGTATATCTATTAAAAGCAGCGGCAAAAAATGAAGTAAATTCTATTCCCATTTAGAGGAAAATAGACGATAAGCATAACAAATGTTCTAAATGGAGATTATCAAAATCTCATCCAGTCAAAATGATATACATCTCTTTTTCTTTGTCCGTTTTATTCCCATTTTTTTGTTTTTTAAGTAATATTCCATTAACACATTTAAAGGTCCCATGTCATGGCCATTTCTACTGATCATATTTCCATTGTTGAGGTCTACTAGAATTTAAATTGTGCAATTTTCCAAACTCACGTTGGTTTCTCATACAGCATCTCTGTATTCACTCTGTCCTAAACGGCTTGTTGGAGCTCCTGCCCCCCCCCTCCCTGTGAGCCCAGTGTGCTCTGATTGGTCAGGACGTTGCGAGGAGCGGACAGGTTTCCGGGTCGGCGATACAGAGAGACACAGCGAAACTCACCCTGAGCACACACAAACACTCACAGCCGAAGTAAAAACAATAAGTGTGGCTTGATATTGAGTAAGAAAAAGGTTTATAACGCTGTGAGAATGGGTCTGCGGAGAGCATTTCTCCCAACTCGTCTATTACCAGCGTTCAGGGAGCTCCATGCAAGTCAATGGGGACTCCCTGTTAGTTAGCCAAGGGATCCTGGTGTGTGAGGTGCTCCGCGGATTGGTCCATTTGGGCCAATCCAGTCATTTGTTGTTGATTTGGGTGTTCACACGTCACAGAACCCAGGAAGCAAACAATGGAAAATGAGAAATGACCAACGAGGCGTTCTGGGGCAGCATAGACAGGTCTTTTCTGTGTTAGAGTTTTACTCACTACAGGGTGTACTTTGAGGGTTTGTGACTCTGTAGACCGTTTACATGCATAAAAAGCTACATAACACACAAGGGGATGGGTAATAACCGGAAAAGCATGACATGGGACCTTTAATATCTACTACTGTGGACCATTTTTAGGTTGACCATAAAGCCAAGGAGATCATACCCAAAGCAGACCTCCCCAGCCCCAGGAAGGAGTTCAGTGCGTGTGCTATCGGCTGTAAGGTCTACGTCACAGGAGGCCGAGGCTCAGAGAACGGAGTCTCTAAAGACGTATGGATCTACGACACTGTCCATGAGGAGTGGTCCAAAGGAGCTCCCATGCTAATAGCCAGGTGAGTCACTTATGGTACAATATAGTCAGAAATGATACTGCCTATTCATGTAGTCAAATCGAATTGTATAGAAGTCTACTAGAAAAGTCTTAAGAGTGTCGTCTCACTTGATTTATCAACTGAGTATACATTTTCCTTATAAACCATTTGATATCATTTTGCTTTAGGGGCCTCAATCTGGAAATATGTTTTGGGTTTTTGATGATAAAGACCAAGTTCTATAGTTGTAACAGCAGTTGAGCAGATAGCTGGGAAGAGAGTGAGACATACGATCCGAATATTCACTCATACTCGCATTAGGTCCCGATTCTATAGTTAATGAGAAGTAAAAAGAAACCCGTCTTCTGGAGGCCCCCTTGGGACCAGTATCCATTGAGATGCTCAGAGCCTTGGTTGAGAACCACTGCTCTAAAATATACATGCAAATAATGTGGGACTTCTGTTGTCCAGGTTTGGCCATGGCTCAGCTGAGCTGGAGAATAGTCTCTACGTTGTTGGAGGTCACACAGCCATAGCAGGAGTTTTCCCTGCCTCACCATCTGTCTCCCTAAAACAGGTATCAGAATTTTCAATTTCTACTATGCATATTCATGAATAGAAACACTTAATTATGTATACATGTGCAAAAGAACAGCCTGTTTTCTGGTTGTTATGAAGTTTGACTTTGACTCCACTTGGACTCATTCACCTTTAAGCTGTTTGTGTGTTTGAAATCAAACACAATCTAACTAACTTTTTCCTAGGTGGAGAGGTATGAACCTCTTACTAATAAATGGACTATGATGGCTCCTCTCAGAGATGGAGTCAGTAACGCAGCTGTGGTCAGTGCCAAACTCAAACTCTTTGTTTTTGGGGGGACCACCATTCATAGAGACAAGGCCTCCAAGGTGGGTGGATTGTATTTGTATCTTCCCTAAACTTCCTTACAAGGCAGCCCCTAACATCCCATAATTCAGTTTCAAAATAACTAATAAACTCCTATCCACTTTCACTTTGTAATCTTATAGCCTCAATAGAGTGGTGCAGAAACAAGTCCTAAAACCTGGAAATGACTTTTACAACTTCTGATTCCCTCGTCTCAAAGTGGTTTTCTGAGCGTGTGTTTGGTTAAACTACTGAAATATGGTCTTTTGTTATGGTTAACAAAAGCTTAAACTTCTATGTGTCCTAAAAATCGTGGTTTTTAACAGAAATGAAATGAGACTACTTAACGTTATCACGACAAACCCGCTGTTAGGTTAGCGTAGGTGACGCAATTCTAAGCGATCGTGATGTTGTTCTTAGCCTAACTTTAGCTTTTCACTTCTGATGATTGCGTTTACCCTTCAAAATCATAAAAGTGCTATAAATATGTGGAGATTATCCTTCTGAACAAAACGTGTAAGTATCATAAATGTGTGCTTGTCACAGATCTTATTTTCAGAACATTCCAAAAAGAAAATTCCAATAGTTTTTCTTCGAGGGATCCCTTGCTAGCTAACTTCTGGGTCAGCCTACAATAATACATGTTCACCACACCACTCTATATGAAAGAGTGTTTTACTTTCATTTACTTGTTTATATGTTTCCATCGTAAAATGTGGTAAAATAATTGTTGCACCTGAAAACTTTGAAACTCTACGTCTTCCATATCTAGGTCCAATGCTATGACCCCGTGGGTAACCGCTGGAACATAGCGGCTGAATGCCCCCAGCCCTGGCGCTACACGGCGGCTGCTGTCTTGGGGAGCCAGATCTTCATCATGGGGGGGGACACTGAGTTCACCGCCGCCTCCGCCTATCGCTTTGACTGTGAAACCAATCAGTGGACTCGAGTGGGCGACATGACGTCCAAACGGATGAGCTGCCACGCCGTGGCCTCAGGGAATAAGCTCTATGTGGTCGGAGGTTATTTTGGGACGCAGCGGTGTAAAACCCTGGACTGTTACGACCCCACGTCAGATAACTGGAACTCCATCACCACTGTGCCTTATTCACTCATCCCCACCGCCTTCGTCAGCACATGGAAACACCTGCCTGCCTGACCAGGAGACACCGACGACAGTTATTACAGGTACATGCTCACCACTGACACCCACTCATCACATCTCAGCTCATCTCTAAAGCCTGTTCTGACATAACGCAATGCAATTTTCTGCCTTGCTTTATTTGTGCATTTTTTCAGGATTGTGTTGATCCACCTCAAAGAGTACATACATTAGCTGTAGCTGTTAACAATGCACCATTTGTGTGTGTGTGCTTTTTCTAACTGAACGGACACAAGTTTTACTTGTGACATGTGCAATGCGCATTCAAATGTTGGTAATAATTAATTGAACTACCTAACTGCTTAGCTACAACGATTACGCAGCGTTTCCGTTGGAAACATGGGTGCAGGTCAAAGTGTCCAGGAACATTCCAATGTCCCAGACTGACGGGAGAAATTCAGGTAAAATATTACCTGTGCTTATTATAGAGCTTTATACATTAATAGGAAGTCTATGTAAAGAATGACAACATCAAAGCATGTAGATATGTTTTATTGAAAAGTAACAACAATAAACAATACATCCTGTCATTAGACTTGAGCATATTGCAAACAAAATTAAATTCCCTCAGCTTTAGGCCTACAAATTATCATATAGAATAAAACCGATTAAAAACAATATGTAAACAAACCAATATATGTGTAGGCCGCTCTGGCTCATAACATATTAATTAAGGCGTGCTGCTGCCAAATTGAAATAAAGCGCCGTTTTCTTTCTGTTCCACTCAGAATATATTTCTGCTGAAATCACTTACGAGGACTTTGCAGGCTACTGAGAAATTCAAACCTTCATGAGGACTTTACACAAGGATGACGTCTTGTTGCACGCTTGTGCTATTAATGAGAGCAGCTGGTGCTTCAAATTGTGCTTGGGGGGATTATTTTACTGAGAAAGATTTTAATTTGTCAGACTTGAACAGAATTTCCTAATCAAAGTCAATTAAATACCGGCTAAAGGAGACACTGAAAACATGTGTTGGCCTTTGAGGGCTACCAAAACCAGTGTGTCCTACACTCAGTACTGTTCTACACTCAGTACTGTTCCTGAATACATCCTGTGTACTCACACAGAGCACTGATGCTGCTGCCCCTGTGGAGACATTTTGATTTGCCTCAATTCCTACCTCCCACAGCACATGTGCACCTGCTTCTTTACACTGATTTGATATAATTATGCTGTCACTAAATGTAGCTTGTGTTCTGTCTGTGACTGTGTACACCTTCAGTTTACACCCATCTTATGGAAACATTGAAATAAAGCCCATCTGGGAGCAGTCATTCTTCTTTATGCAGAAATATGCAGCCACTTTCAGGCTATTCACATGGTCCTTTTCACAAAGAAAAAGTATGATTTAAAAAAAAAAAAAAAAAAAAAAAACTGGTTGGATGATTCATTTTCTCCTGGATTTTGGCCCACCATTCAACTGAACATTGTTGGTCTCTATTTTGATGATGGTAAACTGGCAAACACACATTCTCTAGGTGAAACTGCTGTAGGGTGTAAAACTAAATGTTTACTTTTTGGGTTTTAAACTTAGTTCTGAAGTTAAACCACAGACTCTTCAAATCATCTGTTTTTTTAATAACCAAGAATAAGCCAATCTTGCCAATACTTTAAATTGAAAGTAATTTAGCTGATGCTATTTTCCACAGCGACTTACATACACCCCGTTACTTTAGACATGCCTACGGGAGCCATTTGGGGTTCAGAACTTGCCAAAGGACACTTCAACACGTTGACTGCAGGGTCTGGGGATCAAACCACGGACCCTACCATTGGTGGTCACCCTGTTCCACAGCCGGCCCACAGAGTTGAGGCTTTATATTCCAGTCTACAGATCTCATGCACCCCAGTCAGCACTTCCCAGAGATTAATGATCAATTATTCATGGAGTTTGAGCCTTCATCTCTTCTAAAAGATTCACTGGTGTTTTGTTTTCCCAGTAAACAGGACAGTGGTAAATTAAACTGCACTTTAACTGATGTATGTCATGTGGTGTAGCATAATCCACAGAACTCAAACACAGTCCAGATAAATAAAAGCTTTTAGGCTGACTCAGTGTTTGTCATTCAATTTAAAAATTAGTCTCTGACCTTCCTCTGACTCATACATACAGTCAGTGACAAGAACACTATGAAACTAACCTTTGGTCCTTTTTAGCGCTACCACACATTGTGGTAAGGATACTTCTTTCTTAACACACCTTACCACAAGCCACAGTGACATTGAATCACCTTTTGAATGTGAGCATGAATGGTGGTCTGGCACTATTTGGCAGCCTTTTGATTGACTGGCGACCACTGGCCTAATGGCAGCTGGGATCCACTCCAACCCAAGCCCCCAGGAAGTGTGCTGGACTGTGAGGCAACATGTATCAAAGGCCAAACCGTGGTACTTCAACTTCCTTGTCAGTCCAGGACGACATTTGGCTCCAAACACTTTTTCCCATTGACTTGCATTGGGAAAGAGATATCTGTATATCAGCGGATACTTTTTTTTAGCTATATGATCTACCCAGTATGAACACCTGAATCTGCCTTATTTAAATCATTAGGTCCTAAAAGCTTCCAATGCACAAAAATCTGATACTAGTTATTTTTCCTCTCCATTCATTGGACTGAGCCGAGACAGTCGTGATGGAGCTGATAGGAGGCAGGGCTTAGCAAAAACGCAAGTGTGCTTGCTCTGGGGGCCCAAGACCCAGAGGATTCAGGTATTTGTATTCTCAAGGTCTAGGCCATTTTGCTTTCATGCACCACTGATTAACTTTCATACAAACATAAACGGGGCCCCGCCTCCAACACTTTATCTAGTTCTCTTTATACATCCATGCTCCAACCCCCCACGACCCTTGAGGATGGACTTTATGATGATAAATGATGGCTTACGATTATAACGGCTGCACAGTTTGAAAAAATATATATTTGACTGACACTGCAATTGCAATATTAGAGATATTGAACATTTTGCATAATCATTCTCATCATCAATATATTAGAATGATCCGTACCAAACAAATGTTTTGTAACGTCTGTAGATGGTATTTTAAACACATATTCGCCTTTAAAAAATATTGTGCGATCTGAAGTTTGCACTAGTCCACATTTTTATTTTGATAACATTTCTTTTAATTGTGCAGCCCTAATGATAATCATCAGTTTTGCCTTTACAAAATTATAAACAAAATCAATTCTATAAGCTAATACAACTATAACCCCATTAACACACATGAATAATTAGTGTGTTAAATACAGTTCAGGGTGTCCAAGAGTTAAATATATAAGGTCATTTAGGTTTATCTTTGGGAACTTTGCTCCAAGTAACTGCGTTTCACCTAAATAATGACGCAGTGTTTCCCCTACCATTGTCTTGGAGCCCCGCCAACGGAGCCCCGCGCCCCCCCTGAAATTCAAGGTGTTTTTTTGTTTTTTTTTATAATACATATTTATAGCACCAAATTGCAACTAATCTATCTACTGTCACTTTTCACATTGAACATGTGCTCTTTTATTAAATAAACTAAACACTGTCATTTTAAGTTATGAGTTCAGTGTTTTTGACCCTAAGAAACACCGATGCATTAATCAATAACTATAATCCACAGCTGCTCTCTCTGCTCCAGAGGATTTAAAAAATTGCACATGCCTTGTAAGATAAAATCAATAAATGCATGGCGTTATAGAATGAGGGGAAGACATGTTGAGTATACCATGACCAGTCTGTGCTGAGGTCACACAAGGAAGTAGCTTCCTTCCTGAGGTTATGTTCCCCGGTGGGACTGCAGCATAAAAATGCACCCAGTGATGCAGTCTCTTCTACAGCATCAGCCCCCCTTTCCCTTTCACCCGCTCCTCCCTTTCAAATATTCATGTTATGAGACTGGAGTCCCAGAGCAGCCTGCTCCACTCAGATCCATCTTGTTCTTCAGTCCTATATTTCTGTCTTTTTCATTTATTGTATGTACACTACTTATTAAGTATGTAAGTATGTAATGTCTTATTCTATCTTTACCCTTCTGTTGCTTTAGCTGTGATGTAATGCTAGGGGGTGGATCATACTGGAATATGTTGCCTCTTCCTCTGCTCTCAGAGCAGCAGTAACAGCAACCTCTCCCCTGGGTCTGCACTGAGCCTGGCTGATTGAGAATTGACTGCTCAGTATACTCTGTGTTTGCCTCACTTTGTTTTTAGGCTTATCATTTATTCATCATCAAAACAGGACACGAGGCAAAGACTTAACATCACCACTAAAGAACATTTTGCTTGCATTATTATTATGATTAATTTATCTTAACACCAAGAATGACAGCGATCCACACATCTTCACACCATCTAAGGCGTTGTTCTTATATAAATGATTGTCGTAGTTGAATCTTACGTTGGCTCAGAGTCCAGCAGTAGTCTGGTGGACTGCGTGGGGCCTCATCTTGCGGAGGGGGCCTCATCTTATCCGCAAATGCGGCGCAATTCATTCATCTTATGCGTAAGTTCACGAGCATGCTCCTCTTGCTGCCCCCCGTCAACGCTCGCAACACATGTGTGACGACTTGTGTACAGACCCGGTGGGCCTTGTGCCACAACTTGGCGTAGGGCCACAAATTGGCCAGGGCAGCCCTGCTCCTTCTCCAGCAGTAATACCCTCGTAGTCCAGCACTAGCCTTGTGAACTCGGTACTTCAGCTGCAACCCTCTCTTTTGGACTTGTCCTCCATCTGCAACCCTCTCTTGTAGACCTGTCCTCCTGCAGTAACGCTCTTTTGTGGACTCTTAGTCAAGCAGTAGTCCTGTCGACTTGTCCTTCAGCTGCAACCGTCTCTCGTGGACCTATTATTCAGCAGTTCCCTTGTGGACTTGACCTCCAACAGTAGTCTTGTTGACTTGACCTCCAACATTAGTCTTGTTGACTCGTCCTCCAACTGTAGTCTTGTGGACTCGTCCTCCAACAGTAGTCTTGTGGACTCGTCCTCCAGCTGTAGTCTTGTGGACTCGTCCTCCAACAGTAGTCTTGTGGACTCGTCCTCCAGCTGT